GGCGATACTTTGCAACTTGCTATATCTAAATATTTATCTAACCAGTAATCTGAGATGATTATAGAATTTATGATTTCCCATACCAATATTTTTATATGTAACTAGCTGGCCCGGTCCGCGTTGCCGGCCCGTAGTTTTTGTCTATTATGCATATATTCCCAAGCATAATTATTCATTATTATTAAAGTGTTTTAAAATACCTGTACCCATTTTTAACCAGTGGGCTTCAATATTTAAACCGTGGGCTTCAACTGTGTGGATGTGCTATACAAATCTATTAAAAAGTATATATCAATCTTATCGCCATATAAGGGATCAAATTAATTTTTAATATGGTAAAAATCGTAGCAAAATCTTCCAGTCAAATGAGCAGTAATTTGGAATTTGCTGTATTTTGTATACTACATAATTGAGGGCTGAATGATTTAAGAATAGCCAAAGTTAATTACTTTTTTAAACCCATTAGCAACTTAGATTGTGCATTAGAGTCCTCATAAGTCCCCCTAACCATGTCAGTCTGTTTGTCCGCCAAAAGGTGGACTTGAGAGGGTATTATAACATGGATAAAAATTCTAAAATTTGTAGATATGTTGAAATTTTAGTGTAAGATTTTCACCCCCCCTAATACGCATTATTAGCCAAATTCTTTGAAATGTGGTTAAATTAGGAGGTACCTTCTTTATATGGGCACTACTCCGAAACATCGACCTACATTGAAAACTTTCTTCTACCCCTTATAATCCAAGATGACAAATAGAGGCCAAATCAAAAATATAGCAGAACAATATAGCATGTCATAGCATTTCGCGTGATTTAAATAAGTAAAAATAGTTTTATCCACCTCATAATTGAGGGCAGAATGATAAGATGGGAATTAATTTTATTTGCCATTTAAATTGTAAGTTGGAGACCCCTTAAATTCCATATTTTCATCATAGGATATGATGATTAAACAAATATTCGGTCCCGTGCTACTTTCTTATATTTGTAATTTGTTCATGTTTCCACAATTTATTTCATATGGATGCACATCCCAAATCTACGTTCCCAACCAATATTCTCTTGGGGGTTAAAAATTCAATAGAATACAAAATTTTCTTTTCTGACCACACATTAGATGTGAAAGTGGACTTGGGGATACTTAAATAAATTCCTATGTGGCAATTATCTGTATGATGGTTCCCTACCCCAGGGTGGCATAAATAAAATTTTTTAGCCAAATCAATTGATGAATGTGGTCAATACCAATATATGCCCTACTCTGAAAATTTCAAATTTTATGCGAAGAGGTTATCTACCCCCTTAGAAACAAAAATGTCAAATAAGGGCCAAAAAATGATAAAAGTGGCCGGCCAAGACCCCAAAAATAACTTAAATCATAGATGGTTATATAAATATGAATTCGGGTTGTTCCCTTATCCATGAGTTATGATCGATATAAAGACCTGCAAAAGTGATTTTAGGTATTTTGAATGTTTGGGAAGAATTTCTGGAAGGATATAAAACCTTTTCTTACTAAAAGTCCCATTCGCTCTACTATTTTGCACCTTTTATTTCAATATTGGTATATTACTTATTATTCTCCCAAAGAATTTTGCATTTTGAGCTCTTATTGGACGGATCATTGTCACGCTTTGAAATGAGCCCCATTAAGCTTTTTCGGTCATTTTTGTTTGTTTAAACGTGTTCACATCTTCCAGCTAACCCACGATGTAGGCCCTGGAGTTGAAAGGTAGATGTCAGTTAACATCCTATTTCGCACTTATTCAATTTTTTTAGTGAAAAATTATTCTTTATTTTGTTCACAAAAAAAATTGACAAAAAAAAGAATAACAAATTGAAAAAGTCTTCAACTTTTTCGCTGATTTTTTACAGCAAATGTTTTAAGATCCTTCCTTACAAAGTTTGTCAATAGAATGTACTATTACTTTAAAATTCGATTCCATTGAAAATGTTTTTTTGATTTTTGCAATGAGATCTCTTTTTCATGATTTTTCAGCGATTTAGAAAAAGTAATTATCTTTTAACTTTGGTGTGACCGCGTTAAATTATTTCGATATCATCTATTCCGTTTCGCCACCACATAATTCGCTACTACACTTCCATGTAACCCGCCATCAATTTCAGTTCTCAAGAAATCAAGTCAATTAAATAAATTGGTATAAATATTCGAATTCAAAAATAAAATATAAAAAAACACTACAAATGTACATTAGAAAAAAGTAAGTCAAAATGGAAAAAAATCATGCAAAATAAAACATTACTATTGTACATTTGAAAAGTCAAAATAAAAATGTTAATATATCACATTTTTACGCGATTTTTTTGGATATTATCCTTTTCGGAGAGTAGACAACTCCGAATTTGTGTGAATCGTTAAAATTAATCCAGCGGTTCTTAAGTTATAAGCGTAGTAAGTAACACAACTTACATTTATATATATATATATATATATATATATATATATATATATATATATATATATATATATATATATATATATATATATATATATATATATATATAATATATATAATATATATATATATAAGATAGATAAATAAATCATGAAAATGGAATACTTCGGTAGACTATACTTGCTACCTCAAGCACATCTTAACATTTTCTAAAAATTATCACATGTGTCATGTAAAGTAAAGGAAGTTACCAACCTGTTACCAAGTTACCCCATATTTATATCGTATTTATTTAGGTCAACTACGAAATAGACAATATTGGCCCTTTCTCTCAGAACCCACACCATAGAGAGTCAGCAGTTTGAATATTCATAACAGAAGTCAAAATATATTTAAATAATCGTACAATGGCTGAGGGTATTAGTCTGTCGGCTGAACTGATTGATACTTTTTAACTTTTTTTCTGTTGCTTTTGGCAGATATTGAAACATATTTTGAAAAATTATAAGACTCTTAGATCGTCTTCTAAAAAATTTATTAAGAATATGGGAATCATTGAATTTAAAAAAATCCACGATTCTCGGGATGTCCTAGAAAATTATTTACGAAAAATCCACCAATATAAATATATGACCGTGAAGTCCTTGAAAAGAACTTTCTAAAAACCCCACAATTTTGAAACGATCTTGGATATATATTTAAGACTTGAACAACTCCCCACACAGATCTCAGAAGTCTGCGGGTTCCGTAATAGGTGAAAAAAGTGTATTGTAAACAATTGAAAAAGCTGTAAGTTCGGCCGGGCCGAACTTTGAGTACCCTCCACCATTTGGTACAAATTTGGCAATTTTCAATAAATTAAAATCTATTAACAATTCTTTTAAAATCTTAAAAATACCGAATGTAGCCGTATACGGCCTATACGACAACGTGGACCTGGATACGCAACTTTTGTCATAAGCCTGCACAGACAATTGGCATAGGATGTAGTATTTATTACGAACTTCAAATACAAAAATTTGGAATAATTCCGGTAAATAATGTCGCTAAAATCATAAAAATACCGAATATCGGGAGGAATATGGGGACTGTACGAAGATGTGTACCTGCACAGACAATTTTCTGTCATAGGCTGTAGTATTCATTACGAACTTCAAATACAAAATTTGGAATAATTCCGGTAAATAATGTCGCTAAAATCATCAAAATACCGAATTTCGGGAGGTACCGTTATATGGGGGCTATACGAAGACGTGAACCATTACGAACTTCAAATACCAATTTTGGAACAATTCCGGTAAATAATGTCGCTAAAATCATCAAAATACCGCATATCGGGAGGTACCTTATATGGGGGCTATATGAAGATGTGTACCTACATGGCCCATTTTCAATACCAAAAGTTCTGCAGACATAATACACCTTTGAGTAAATTTTTATCAACTTACTTAATTTCGTCCGGAAGCTAGAGTGATTTCCACAGACGGACGGACGGACATTGTTAAATCGACATAGAATTTTATGCTGATCAAGAATATATATACTTTGTGGGGTCTAAAATGTATATTTCGAGGTGTTACAAACGGAATGACAAACTTAATATACCCTTCATACTATGGTGGAGGGTATAAAAAATGGAGTACAGTTTTTTTCCCACAAGTTCTTAAATAAATATAATTATTTTTAGATAACTATGTATGTTGGATGACATCCTAAAATTTTTTGGGCTAAATTGTTACATATATTTTATAGATATATAATTGGATTTTTTTTCGGAATTAGGACCAAAAAGGCACCTTGGGCCCCGTTGGAGGTTCAAATATTTTTATCGAAATATTTCTCGTATGGTTAAAAGTAATACTGTCGAAATACTTTATGCCTAAAATGCAAGGATTCCAAGTAAAATATATCTACTACCGGGGGGAAGCTTGCTCCCTCTAATTATGCCACTTTGCGATGTAAACTTTGTTAGTGCCGATTTTTTTTATTCATTTTTTTTTTTTGTATTTTTAGATATAATTTCATAACCTTCTGAGTTTTCCTTGTAAAAATTATTAATATTTTAAAAATCGTTAAAAAATATATTTTTAGTTAGGTTCTTTGGCATTTCACCTACTCCAAATTCATATACGTTGGCCATTTTGCATTCATTCACAAAAAAAGTTATCAAATTGCTTGGGGTACATTAAAATCGGACATTTAATGAAAACAACAACAACAAAAATAGAGAATTTCAAAAATGTGTTTTTTTTTGTTGCTTCTTTTAATTAATGATCTGTGTACATATATATGTATGTATATTGTATCTACGCACAACTGCTAATGATGATGAACAGCAAAATATTGAATATTAACAACAACTAAATTAGATTATTGGCCAACATTTTCATTAATTTCAATCAATTAGAAGATTATAAGGAAAATAATAAATAATAAACCGCGAAAAGAATTATCCACAAAAATCCAATGGGGGTTGTTTTGGTAGCCAAACAGCGATTTGGCTATTTTTAGATATTTTTAGTATTTTGCCACATACTTTTAAATGAACTTACGTCAAATTTGATGTTTTTGTTTTATTTTTAGCCTTTTCGTCATCATATCAAATTCTCACGCTTCCTCGTTCTTGGTCCCCCGCCCCACTCCCAATGGCTGATGAAAAACAAATCTGTGCTAAAATAACTTTCAATTCAATTTGATTGACGATAAATCGATTGATAAGGTTTCAGCTGAGCGCGCGCACACACACACACGGAAACCCCAAGGGACACTCACACACACAAATCTATAACATGAGCTGGAAGTTCTTTTGGAAATTGTTCGCTTTGATGCAGATACTTTACTTGAGTGAGGTAAGTTAATGAAAAAAAAAATAATTTATTACTTAAAGGTGGATGGTAAATTTCTTAAAATTGAAATGCGTTAGTGGTCATCATTTTTTGGTCCTTCATCTAATTATCACCAAATGTCATCTTTACAAAAATCCCATACCGCCAGGACATGTCTCATCATGCATTTAATTGCCATTAAATCCATTTCGTTGACATTAACATTGTCTGGAAGTTCGACGTGGCAGACGACATACGGTTGCATTAATGATAATCTTTGTTGAAAGACCAAAATCGTGTGTGTTCTGTTTCATGAACTTATTTTTGCTAATCTCTGTGGCAGAATTTATTGGATAAAGATTTAAGTTGTCAGACTTGTCTGCTGTTCAATTTGCTGTTGTTCTTGTTGTGTTTTGCTTGTTTCGCGTGTCTGCCAAACAAAAAAACTCTTCCGAATAATACACTCGAAGAAAATTGTTCGTTGAAAATCAATGAACCAATGTCTATAGATTTTTATGGGTAACCGACCTTCTATAGCTCTAGAAAATTTAGAAGGATAGAAGACGTTACAGATCTCAAATCCGTATAGAAGACCTCACAGGTCTTCTATTATTATACAAGATCTCACAGGTCCTCAATTCGTATAGAAGACCTCACAAGTCTTCAAATTTCCTATCCGTATAAAAGACCAGAGGTCTCCTATCCGCACAGAAGACTTAAGAAGTGATCTATCCATGTAGAAGACCTCAAAGGTCTTCTATACGAATAGAAGATCCGTATAGAATACCTCAGAGGTCTCCTATCCGTATAGGAAACCTCAGAGATCTCCTATCCGTATTGAAGACTTTACAGGTCTCCCATTCGTATAGCAGATCGCAAATTTATCCCTGAAAGGTCTTCTATTCGTATAGAAGTCCTCACAGCTTTCCTATTCGTATAAATGACACCAAAAAGGTCTCTTATTCGTATAGAAGACCTCAAGGGTCTCCCATTAGTATAGAAGACCTCAAAGGTCTCTCATTCTCCTATTCGTATAAAAGACCTTTAAGATCTCTTATTCATATAGAAGACCTCAAGGGTGTCCCATTAGTATAGAAGACCTCAAAGATCTCCTATTCGTATAGAAGACAGCAAAGGTTTCCTATTCCTATAGAAGACCTTACAAATCCTATTTACATAGAATACTACAAGGGTCTCCCAATAGTATAGAAGACCTCAAAGTTTTCCTACTCGTATAGAAGACCTACGAGGTCTTCTATTCGTATAGAAGACCTCAATGGTCTCCTAATCGTATAGAAGACCTCCAAGTTCTCCTAATCGTATAGAAGGCCTTCAAGGTCTCCTACTCGTATAGAAGACCTCAATGGTCTGCTTTTCGTATAGAAGACCTCCAAGGTCTCCTAATCGCATAGAAGACTTAAATGGTCTCCTATTCGTATAGAAAACCTCCAAGGACTGCTATTCGTACAAAGCACCTCAAAGATCTCCTATTCCAATATAGAGCTCCTGAAGGATCTCATTTTCGTATAGAAGTCCTTAAAGGTCTCCTATTCATATAGAAGACATCAAGGTTATCCTATTCATATAGAGGACATCAAGGCTGTCCTATTCGTATACAGCACCTCCTATGTCTATTGAAGACTTCAAAGGTCTCCTACTCGTATAAAAGACCTCCAAGGTCTGATATGCGTATAGAAGACCTACAAGGTCTGATATGCGTATAAAAGACCTCAAAGGTCTGCTATTCGTATAGAAGACCTTAAAGGTCTGTTATTCGCATAGAAGACCCCAAAGGCCTGCTTTTCGTATAGAAGACATCAAAGGTCTCCCATTAGTATAGGATCTCCCACAGATCTCATATTAGTATAGAAGACCTCAAAAGTCTCCCATCCCTCTGCTGTTCTTATTCGTATAGAAGAATTCAAAGGTCTCCTATTCGAATAGAGCATAGAAGGCCTCAAATGTCTCCTATTCGTATAGAAGACTTAAAAGTTCTACCTATAGTGAAGAAGAGCTCTAGTATGTCCTATTCGCATAGAAGACCTCAAAGGTATCTAATTCGTTTAGAGTACCTCCAAAGTCCAAAGTCTCGCATAGAAGGCCTCTTTGGCCTCAAGGTCTCCTATTAGTATAGGATCTCCCACAGATCTCATATTAGTATGGAAGACCTTAAAAGTCTCCCATCTCTCTGCTGTTCTTATTCGCATAGAAGAATTCAAAGGTCTCCTATTCGAATAGAGCATAGAAGGCCTCAAATGTCTCCTATTCGTATAGAAGACTTAAAAGTTCTACCATTAGTGAAGAAGAGCTCTATTATGTCCTATTCGTATAGAAGACCTCAAAGGTATCCAATTCGTATAGAGTACCTCCAAAGTCCAAAGTCTCGCATAGAAGGCCTTTTTGGTACAGAAAATCGCAAGGATCCCCTAATCGCATAGTTGACCTCAAGGATCTCTTATCCGTATAGAGAATACTAAGGATATTCTAGCCATATCCAGGCCCTCGTAAGTCTCCTATTCGTAAAAAAACGTAAAAATTTCAATTGATTTAAGACCTAATAGGTCTTCGGTCTATATAAAAGACCTGTTTTGTTGTTTTCAAATATTTGAGTCAATTTTTCTCTCAAATTTTCGTGAGCTTTACAGTGTGTCTGGCTGTCTGTATGACTGTCACTGTGGTTTTGGCGACATAACCGCAGAGGCATCATTTAAATTTGTGACAGATGTCTGATGGCAAGACGTCCGTCGACAAACCGCTACATTAATATTTTAAATAAAGTACGAAACAAATTGTTTGCAATAACAACAAACAAAAAACAGCAACAGCAGCAATCCCAACATGAGAAATGTCCACGAAACGACAACAACAACAACAACAAGACAGCAAATCACATAAACATGTAAAATGTCCACAAAAATGTCTCCGCATTGTCAAAGTTAGCTGTCACAAACGTATGTAATTTGACTTTTACTTTCGGAATTTGAAAGGGTCCAACACATGACATTAGTTTAGATGGATATGTTGGCCCGTGAAACGCATTCCATTTGGAATTTATGTTTCTGTAGTAAATATGGAAATATTTTACAAATTAACCTCTTGAATTTTTGATGGATGACGATATTGGAATTAGTTACACCAATAACATGTTAAAGGGATCGGTCCATCCCTCTCCACCATGGCACTCGTCATCATCGTTATTGTTTGGAAGTTGTTGCTACTGCTGATGTTTTTTTTTTTTTTTTTTTGCTTTTCTCCAACAATTCGCCTTTGCTAATTGAACTTGAAATATTTGAAATTCCCATGAAATCAAGCGGAAATAATTGCCTACAATTTGAAGGTTGTCCAAATAAACGAAAAAAAAAAAAAAGTTTTGCATATCGGAGAGCAAGACAAACAAACCAAAACAAAACAACAATCAAATCAAATGAAATGAAATTCCCATTATGTGACAACAAACAATGTGCGAACAACAAATTCGTTCAATGAACCGCAAAAAGTCATACACAACAGTTTGAACACACACACATACACAAGCCTGTGCAGAACATGTCTGTAGATAGCAACGAGGTTTTGAGTTATATAGAAAGCTAGCGAAATTATTTCATAGAGTAAGCTAATGTGGTTTAGGATAATATATATGAAATAGGTAAGAAGTATCAGTCGGTTCACCGTTGGATATATGCACCCACTATATTAGCAATTATATACGAATATACAACAAAATAGCCAAAACATGCCCATAACTCCTTAAATATCGGGATTTCGGGGTTTTAGCTTCATTTTGATTGCAGATATTTAAAGAGGAAAAATAGCCAAATTTAAAATGCTCATAACTCCTTAAATATTGACATTTCGGGGTTTTTAGCACCATTTTCATTGCAGATATTTAAAGCGGAAAAATAGCCAATTTTAAAATGCTCATAAGTCCTTAAATATTGACATTTCGGGGGTTTTAGCATCATTTTGATTGCAGATATTTAAAGAGGAAAAATAGCCAATTTTAAAATGCTCATAACTCCTTAAATATTGACATTTCAGGGTTTTTAGCATCATTTTGATTGCAGATATTTAAAGAGAAACAAGTAAAAAAGCAGTAAGTTCGGCCGGGCCGAACTTTGAATATCCTCTACAATTTGGAACGAATAAGAAAATTAAAAAAAAAAAATAAAATCCATTGAAAATTCTGTTAAAATCTTTAAAATACCTAATATCGGAAGGAGCCGATATATGGGGGATATACGATATTGTGGACCTATATTGACAAATCTATGTCTGGGGGTAAAGTACTCACTAGGAACTTCTTGTGTGGATTTTCAAATAATTCCATTGGGAAATGTGGCTAAAATTATCAAAATCCCGAACATCGGAGGTACCGTTATATGGGGGATATAAGATGTTGTGGACCTATATAGACAAATCGCTTTCAGGGGTTTAAGTACTCACAAAAAACTCATTGTGTGGATTTTCAGACAATATCATTAGAAAATATAGCAAAAATCATCAAAATACCGAATACCCTTCGTTATATGGGGGCTATACGATATCGTTTACCTATATAGAGAACTCTCTGTCAGGGAGTAAAGTACTCACAAAGAACTCCTTGTGTAGAATTTCAGACAATTTCGATTTAAAAATGTGGCTAAAATCATCAAAATACCCAATATCGGGGGGTACCGTTATATGGAGGATATACGATATCGTGGACCTATATAGATAAGTCTCTTCCGAGGTATAAAGTACCCACAAGGAACTCCTTGTGTGGAATTTCACACAAATCCGTTGAAAAATGTGGGTAAAATCATCAAAATACCGAATATCGGGGGTACCGTTATATGGAGGATATACGATATCGTGGACCTATATAGATAATTCTCTTCCAAGGGAAAAAGTAGATAAAGGAACAAGGGATAAAGGAACTCCTTGTGTGGATTATCAGACAATTCCATTGAAAATGTGGCTGAAATCATCAAAATACCGAATATCGGAGGGTACCGTTATATGGAGGGTATATGATATCGTGGACC